TTAAAGGGAAGGGCTGCATCTGTAAAGCCAGATGATGCGGATGGGTTATGGGAAGGCTGGGTGTTCGGGTGACCTAAATATTACGTGCTTGTGTAATTGCTTGGCGGTCCAGGGCTGCCTGCCGGGGTCGGTTGTGATGCTCGGCTCGGGTAGGGGTATCCGGGGAGTTTAATCGACACGTGGCATTTGTTGCAGCCGTTGCAGAAGCGACAGAGAACCGTGGAGGACTTCAATCAGTTCTGCACCTTCGTTTTGGCCTACGCAGGCTACATCCCCTACCCTGAGGAGGTAAGCGGGCTTACGGGATGTTCCTCTGCAAAAAGACCGGTTGCAGACCCAGCTCCTAATTCTTTTCCTGGAGAGTTGTTCTCCATCCCCAGCCCCTTCCTCCTCACCCTGAATGTCTGCGCTGCGGTCTCATATGCTAGTCCTGTGTTTTCCCCTCTTGCAGAATGAGCTCTGGATGCATGGAGGCAGCATGAGTCCCCAGAACAGCACGGGGAGCACTCAGGACAGCGATAGCTGGGCCTCGTCCCACTCCTCCGACTGCCATGTCCTGACGGATGACAGGAGGAGCAGGAACGCCGTGGCCCGGGGGGCTGTGGACAGCAGCCTGCTCATGAGCTGCCCTGCCTTCCCCACCGGCTTCTACGATGTCCGGCCCCAGCAAACCAAACGGAAGAAGCCACCAGCAAAGAAACTCATTATGGAGCAGGAGGTAGAAAAGAGGGTGCCGCCGAGCACCGGGAAGAGCTTTGGGGCAGAGCAGGACGGGGTGAAGGAGTTGGCTGCGCTGGAGGGACAAGTGCCTCCCGTGAAAGAGCAGCTCTTGGAGCCTTCCCTCAACCCAGCTGGGGACCCCCAGCCCAACTCCCTCCTGGAGGAGCTGATGAAGGAGGAGAAGGACTGGATGCACGGAGCGCAGGGGACTGAGAAGCCAGCAGGAGATGATCCTCAGCTAAAGGAGCATGACCCCTGCTCTGGAGGGAGGAAAAGCCCCAGTTCCTGTAGTACCTTGGACCAAAGTGAAGGGGAAGATGCAAGCAGAGGGAGCTCCCAGCTTAGTGGTGAGTGTCTGAGGGAGCGTAGAGGGCCCTGTTGTGCTGCAGCCAGTGCCAGATACTGTCCCTCCCTCAGCTGGAGCCACCCATGCTGGCTGCAGGGAGGGCTTGTCGATGGCCCAAGCCTCTCCCAGCAAGGGGAGTACCTTTGGGACCTGGGAGGACCGAAGAGCAGAGGGCAGGGAGCTGGCCTGCCCTTTGGCAGCTCTGTTCTGCAGAGCGAGCGGTACAGACCTGAAATGTGTCTGAAGTGAGGCGTAGGGGTGCCTCGCTCATCCGGTCTTTATTTTTTTTCTCTCTTTTTTTCCCCCACTTTGCAACTTTAGCAGTCGAATTCGCAGCAGCTCCGAACACCAAAGCAGAAGGTGAGTGGGGGGGCTGTCCCATTTAACACCAGTGGAACTGGCTAGTCTGGGTGCAGCTGGACCTGCAGCTGGTAAGGTGGTTTCTGACCAGTGTCTCTCTCTCCCTGATCAGATGATGATGCCTGGGATCTGATCACCTGCTTCTGCCTGAAGCCCTTCGCAGGGAGGCCCATGATCGAATGTAACGAATGCGCTACCTGGATCCACCTCTCTTGTGCCAAGATCCGCAAATCCAACGTGCCTGAGGTTTTCATCTGCCAGCGATGCCGCGATGCCAAGCAGGAGATTCGCCGCTCGAACCGAGCTCGGACGGTGCCCCGCAAGCGCTTCTGTGACTGAAGTTCCTCCAGAGCAGGGAGGCCGGGGGTCCCCTTTTTAAACTGAAGACTGTAGCCCGGTTTGGCTAGACAAGCAATGCACAGTAATGGCAGGGGAGGGGCTGGGCCACGGGGCTGGACTGTCCCCCTTGCACTTCTGACTCCTGGAAGCTGCCACGCGCGTCCTCCCTGAGGATCGCGTTGGCCACGGAGCTCAGTTACCCCAGAGGTGTGGGGGGGAGAGGAGGGTGGTCCAGCCACGCACTAGGTCACTCAGAAACATCTCTGTCCTCGCACAAAGCTGGCTCAGTGCCTTTCCCCCAGGGCAGCCAAGGAGAACCTAGTCCAAGTAGTTTTTCTGTGGTGTGGTGGAAGCTTACACTTATCCCAAGATGTGACTCCCCTTCCTCCTTTTTCCTCACTGTTTTCCTTTCCTTGCCTCAGACCTTTGGGTGGGCTGCGATGGCAAAGCCCCGGTGAACCAAGTTCTCTTCCAGCAAGTAGGTGCAGCCCAGGCGAGCTCCTTCCATGTAGTGTGCTGCCCTCCAGGGCGGGAGGGGAAGGGACATCCATCCTTGCTGATGCCTGAAGCAGACTGGGGCTCTGCGTCTTGTGGGTATTGGTGGACTCATCCATCTCTGGCTCATCAGCCTTGTAGGCTGCACAGGGGAGGTCCTTCCCCTGGCCTGTGGTGCTCCTGGTTTTGTTTGCTGTGCCTGCATGCCCCAGGATAGTCCTGTTGGGTTAGGAGCGGCAAAGGCATCCTCTGGTAGACGATTACAAAGGCTGTTCTTGCTGAGCAGCCCTCCTTGGTTCACCTTCTCCAGTTGCACTGAAGTCTCCTGTGTGAAAGGGGGGGTGGGATTCCTGCTAGGAGACTGAGCAGTTATCGTCGGAGCTGGCTGTGGCAAGGCTGGGAGCCCTATGGAAGGGGAGCAGGAGAGTGCTCTGGTTAGCTTTCCATGTTTTTCACTTCCAGTTTAAAACAACTGAAGCTTGTACCCTGTGGCCATCTCCTGCCTGCAGGGCTGTCTGGAGCATCTGCTTCAACACCAGCTGGATGCTGAGACCTGAGCTCGGATGGAGCCTGGAGCTGGGAAGGCCTGCCTTCCCAGCACTCCCTCCATCAAAGAAGCTGTTTTGGGTTTGGGTTTTGGGGTTTTTTTTTTGTTTGTTTTGGTTTGGTTTTTTTCCTGGACATACAGAGCGAAACCTAATGACTTGTCAAGAGTGGGCCCTGAGCCCCTTCTGCTATGCAACTGCTGCTCTGGAGACATGGGGCATGCCCTCTCCAGGCCCCCAGTTAAGTCTGGTAGTGGAAGGCTTTCCCCCCCACCTCCGTGTCCCCCGTGTGCAGTGTGTGTGTGCGATCTCCCGGGGCCCCACGTGCACTAACTGTTGGATCCCACCTCCTCCTCACAGCCCCTCCAAAGAGCCTGGCCTATGTGCCTTCTGCACTTTCCCTGGGGGATGCAGACCCTGCTCCTGTCCTGGTGACACTCGGTTCGGCCCCTGGCATGCCACTGCCTGCCGCGGGGAGTGGGACAGCCCCCACGTGCCAGTCCCCATGACTGTATTTCTTAACTGGGTTCTTTCCTACTTGCACATCTGGTTACTGTGGGACCACAGCTGGGGGAGGGTGTGGGGCAGCCCCCTGTCACTCAGCAGCCCCCAGGCTCATCCCTGTGCCTCTCTCCTCCTGTGGAAAGCCTGGGCCCCAAAAGTGCTTTATGTTTTTATAGTTACTTTGTATTGATATGTAAAATAGCAAATTCTGGTCCTTGCCCTGTGGAGTGTGGCTGGAGTCTTATGTATATAATAAAAGTACTTTTTTGCCATAATGGTGGTGGCTTTGGTGTAGTTCAGTGGCTTCAGGTCTCACATCCCTTTGGGCCTTGAGTGCTCCCCTTCTGCTATGGGCAGGAGGGGATTTGGTGTGCAGATCCCACCCGGCCCTGCCCCACCCCGTAAACCCTGAGCTGCACAAACAACAGGGAACACGGGCCAGTGCGCATTGTATTTAATAGAGCAATGCCTGCCCCCCCCCCCACACCGTGGCAACACGTGGGGCTGCTCCACAAGAACATCCTCTGGAGCTGCGTGGGCTTGGGGACAACCTCTTCGAGGGGCACCGTCTTCCTGAGGCTGCAGCCAACTCATCACAAGTTACTCCAAAGCAGCAGCAGGTCCGATGGCTCAGGGAGGGTGTCTGCACACCCTTGCTGCAACTCTTAAGGTACATCACGATTTAGCTCAAAAGCTGTGTTTTGTTCTTGGGCTCTGTCTCCACTCCAGAGTGGAATTATGATTTAGTCCTGACAGCAGTTAAGGTGCCGAAGGATCCAGTTTTCTCCACAAAATAAGTCTCTTATTCCAGCACAGAGGCATCACTGGCTTCCCTTGCCAATCCGGAGGTATGCCAGCGTCTGTCAGGCAGCGCAGCTGGGACAAATGGGGAATGTAGCGAGGGGGACAGGACAAGAAGGCACTGGGGGCTGAGCACGGACCCGGCTGGGGCAGGAAGAAGTCACTGTTTGAGGGGACCCTTACCAAAGCAGGGTCCTGCTGGTGCGACATTTCATTCCTGAGGCAGTTGTTTTGGGGGAGAGGCAGCAAATGGTCCAAGAACAGCAGTAAAACTAGGCGTAATTTCTATGCTAGCGGCCAAGTGAGCATCCTGGTGAGCGAGGCGGGGGGGTCTACTCCTCCTTGGCCCAGACAGAGCTGCCTGCCTTCTCCTCCAGGTGGGGAATCACCGCCTCAGTGTAAAACTTCTCCAGCTTGGGCACCGTCTGCTCCCAGAACTTGGCATCAAACTCCACAGGGACCACGGCCGTCTCCTTGGTGGTGTGCACCACAAAGTCGGCCCGCTGGAAGCCAGCGGCCGCCATCTGGCACTGGACCTGGGTGAAGTAGGCATGATCCTTCTTCAGGGCATAGGAGTCCCCGTCCACCTCCAGGCAGAAGTCCTTGTCCTTGCAGGCCTCGCGCACCGTCCTGTTCCTGTGCTTGTAGGGACACTTCACCTCCAGCAGCCCTAGGGCCTTCCCCGTGGCCACCTCCTTGACGACGCCGTCCGGGCTGGC